TAAATAGAAAGCTCAAACTAAATGATACTGTATTTTAAAACAATACTAATGTATTTGAAAATCTCAATGAAATATACAATTTTCCAGGAATTTTTTTCTGGCAAAAGTGATTTAAAGAGAAGTAAAAAATGTAAAAAGAAAAAAAAATTCCAAAGAATACTCTAGGCTTAGATGTTTTATGACTACATTGTTTCAGAATTTCAAGGAGGAAGTAATTTTAATGTTATCTACTCAACATTTTACACAGTCCAGAAAAGGAGGAAAAGCTTTCCAATTCAAATGTGAACCCTTGTATTCAATATTATTAAAGATAGTACAAATAAAGTAAAACACAAATTAATTTCATTTATGATTATAGATGCAAAAATAATAACTGTAACATAGGCAAATACAATTATACAGTACATTAAAACAAGAGTATACCATGACTAATCAGGGTTTATTTCATCAATAAATTTGAAAAACAAAAACCAATAAGATATGCCATAAAATAAAATGTAATTTCTCATAGAAACTCTCAATAAACTATGACTAGTATTTTTAATAATAAAGAAAATCTTAAGTCAGTGGTAAATATAACAAATGGTGAAATATTAAAAACTATACTATAATTTAAAAACTACACAAAATACCTGCTAAAACCTGTATTACTTAATATTATTCTTGACATTCTGGGTAGTGGGATAAAAGAAGGGGTTAAAATAAAGGAAATGCAGACAAGAAAACAAATCAGTTGAAATATGACTAGAGCTAATAAGTTTGATAAAAAAGGAAATTATAAAATGAACCAGTAAAATTCACTAACATCCCTAAATACAATAACAAAAAGAAAATGGAATGAAAATTATCTCATTCACAAAAGCAAGCAATAAATTAATCATTATAATGACAACATGAAAGGAAATATGCACAATCTGTATTTTAAAAACAAAACATTGTTGAGGTACAAAAAAACATTAAATAAATGACTTTGAATGGAAAGACTCGGTACTATAAAGGTATTAGTTTACCTCATAGTTTTATACAAAGTTAATACAATCTTTTAAGATATCACTTTGGAATTTCAATTAGTAATATATAAGTCTACAATAAAGTTTAGAGAAATGTGCAAACACATTAAAGTTATGAATGTAATTGTGCAATAGTTTTCCAAGATACTGTAAAGCTACAGTGATTGATATAGCAGAGCACTAACAAAAGTTTAGATAGATCAGTGGGATAGTCAATGGGAATAGAACTAAAAACTGAGAAATTGTTCCAAATATGCAATTAATATGTAATAAAAGATGTTATTTCAAGTCAGAAGTGATAAGATGGATTATTTAATAAATGATACAGAAGTAGTTGGTCAACTACTTGAGAAAAAAATTAAGTTATACTTCTGAATGAAATTATACATCAAAATACATTCAAGAGGAATTAAAGAATCAATGTATAGAAATACAAAGAACTGAAAGAAAAATATATAGAATATCATCTAATCTTAGACGGAGGGAAGCCACTCCAAACAAATATCCAATAGGAAAAAAAAGCATTAAAAGTAGAAGGGAACAATTTGACAACAAAATCATAAAGTAAAGAAAAAAAGAAATAACATACAGGGTCCGGCAAAAATAACACCTGCTTGAGTGTCGTTGGTAGGATAACAATATGGGTGTAATAATTTATAGTTTTAATTTGAACAATTCACCTAAAATATCATATGGCGGGTCTGACTGTGATATCAATATGTCACCAAATTACAAGCTTATGATTTTATAATAAAAGATTTTGTAATAAAAAAGATGCATTATTTATGCCAGACCCCGTATATGACAGATGAAGATTAATACCATTAAAATATACAGGGCGGGGCAAAAATCAGTTTACAATTGTGAGCACATGATGTACAAAATTTATTCTTATATTATTATTTATTAATTATTGAATTATTTCCCATACAAGCAACTCTAAACCTATTTTTTCCCCATCTTGTTCATTAACAGTCTTACAAAACTATAAGAATTAGATAAATCCTTTAAAGGAAAAGCAGGCATACAACATCAATAGACTTTTCACAGAGGAAGCGATACTTAATATAAATAAATTTATGCAAAAACTCATCATTCTCAATAATAAAGAAATTCAAAATAATTCAGCAATAATGTGTTATTTTCCCTTTAAAACTGGCAAGAAACTTGTACATTAATAATACTGGTCATTCAGGGTAAGGGAGGAACACTTGCAGATGCTGCTGGTGATAGGACAGAACACTGTGCCTTTCTGAAAGGCACTGTGGCAATGGGTACCAAAAGCCTTTTAAGAAAGATCGAATTTTTGATGAAGGAATTTCACTTTTTACTAATATATTGTAAGAAAATAGCCACTAGTTAGTACTGAAAAGAAAAGTTATCCATATTCAAGATTTACTTCATAATGACAAACAATAAAAACAACTGAAATATTGAATAAAAGGCTCACTTTTATTCAATATTTACGAGAACATCACTTAATGCAATATTTTCTGCAAAATCAATGATCTAATCACAAGGAAATTCACAACATATCATTCAGTGGAAAAGATGGATACAAAAGGATAGTAAAAAGATGATTCTAATTTCAAGAAAAAAATTAACATGTATATACAAAAATTAAAATGGAAAGAATATAAGATATAATACAGGTAGAATTAAAGGTAATTTTAATTTCTTTTTTGTGTGTTTCTATACTTTTTACAATAAATATATATGAGTTTTATAATGAGGGAAAATAGTAAAAATGCGTAATGCTTGAGACATAACATTAAATATTGATAACGTAAAATAGTATGTCTTGGAGACAGTATTTAGATCACTGACATTTCAGAATAATTATAACTAATTTAGGTCTATCTCACCTAGACTAAAAATGTACATTGAGTTTTAGCAGTGATTGAATCATTATGAACACTAATTTTTTTCATTTTTATTATATTACTGTTATATTTTCTGTCCAATTGCATGGCAACAAAATATCAGGATGTAAGAAGAGACTAATATGTAGAATGAATGTAGAATAAATCAAAATGAAAAATTTAATAGGAATCTTATCTTCTATGCCCATAAAACTGAGCATAGCATGCCAATAACAGTTCACTTACCTCCTACAGAATCCAGAAGAAAAAGTTAAAGAATTTAAAAAGCCTAATTTTGCATGTGTTTCACTTTTGAGATCTATGCATTTTGAATATCTGAGACTAGCACAACTTTTCCACTTTAAATTCATAATAGAATTAAAAATAAAGTAAGATGGGAAGTGAGGGCAGGGGAGAGAAGATAACCCAATGCTTAAAAACTCAATGCTTAATCATAATGTAATAAACATTAGCTTCCACATTACTAAAAGAAAGCAAAACCCTTTCATAGGGAATATCAGAAGATAATTCTGATTATCTTCTGATCATAGGGATAATTCCCTGAACATAGGGAACTCATAGGGAATATCAGAAGATAATTCATGCTGGCAAAAGCTTGCCTTTGCATAAACCATTTCTGTTCTCACTTTTATAAAACCAAAGATTTTGGGAAGGAAAGAAAACACAGAACGATGTGCAAAGTAGCACATACCATGTTATTGCAGCTGGATAAAGAATATGTCACTAATGATTTTCTACCCATCCATTATACGTTGAGTTTTTTTTTTTCCAAAATAGCAAATGGCCTTCATAAGTACAAAACAGAAGCAGTGAAATTCAACATACTATCCAATTTCTACTTGATTTTGATACTGTGTTATTTAATGGAATGAATTATTAATCATTCCTTGGGGAAGAGATGACTTTCTTTTCTATTCATTTGAGTTGAAAATAACATACCTGAACCTTAGGTAATTTTCTGTACTAAATTCGAAATAACATTTTCATCAGATAGTTATTGCCAAATGTTCACCTTAAATGAGATATTTATTATCCATGACCAACACAAAGATTTACCTGAAGCTGTTTGATAAATTCAGAAAACAAATCTAATTCACTTCCCAAATTGTTAGTGCAAGTCAGAATGATGATTGTCCATAAGGAACAACTGAAAGAATTAATTAATGATCATGGATTCTATTCATGATATCAAAAACTAATAATACAGTACTTCATTTCCATAAAGGAATAAACAAGAAAGAGTTAGGCAAGAAGTATGACTTCTTCATTGACAGGGTAACTTAATTCCATATGTACTGGGATGGTCCACTTCTTAACATGTATCAGAATAACATCAATCACATAACTTCAAAAATAAGATTCTCATCCTCATCAGGGTAAGAGGTCATGAGATTTTAAATCTTGTGAAATGTTTTTAAGGTTAATCAACCTAGCAACCTACAGGCATGTGAATGATAACGACTAAAACTCACTCTCATGAGTGCTTTCTTAAGTGCCAGGTGCTATGCTAAAAGCATTACATGTATTAATTTTCTTAATGAGCCTGTGAGGTAGGTACTGTTATTACGCCATTTTAGATACTAGGAATTCAAAATATGGAAAAGATCAGTGACTTGCCCAAAGTCACTCACCTAGTAAATAATAGTGCTCGGATTAGAACAGGTAAACAGGCCTCAGAATCTACCCATAAATCATCATGTATAGTACATTCTATAAGCTTTTTTTAAATAGGTGCTATGGTTGATCCTTTCGATCAGGAAAATTGCAAATTAATAATTTTATTATAGTAGGACAAAGAGAAAAGATTAAAATTAAATTAAAATTATCTTTAATTTGCTCTTCATTTAACATTTTTTCATTTTCATTCTTTTTTGTTAAGTAAATTAATACAGGAGTTTATCTTCAATTTATATGTTATAGACTAATAAAAAGTGAGGGCAAAAATTTTATTCTGTAAACATCATAAAGAATAAAAGTTCAGGGATATACAATACATTTACCCTCTCATACATAAACAAATATTAGAGGTAAGTACAGAACATCAACAAATGTGTTTTTATACAAAATAACATCCACATTGATATGTTTGATATTTTGTATATTGTACCTTTAATTTCTCCAAGAAGTTCACTGGTATTTAGTCTTTCCATTTTTTCCTTCCAATCTTTTGAAAGTAGTTTTTCCATGCAGGAGGAATCTATTAAAATAAAAAAAATAAGTATTAAAAATATTGCATATACATTTATAAGTATTAAATATCACAAATCCAGAAGGCCAGTTAATGGAGAAATTCTATCATTTAAAATGATCAAAGATATTTTATGTTGTTGTTTTAAGCCTAGGATATAGACAATTATATTACTCTATTATAAAATATCACAACTGAATTTATTTTTACCAGATTATTTAAACTGGTCCCAAGAAAAAAAGATAATGCTCAATAAACTTATCTTGGTATTATAATTATAATTATAATTCTTAATACTCAGTCAGCATTTACCATTTCTTAAACTGATAGGACAGAAAAAGGGATTCTTTTCTGTGTATTTAAGTTTAAATAATATTCCTTTTAATCAGGTGATTATTTTTTAATTCCAGGCAAAATTTGTGTGTGCTATTCAAGGAAAAAGACAATTCTTCAAGGGAGAAAACACCAAACAACCTGTAACCACTAGTCCTTAAAAAAGAAATACACTTACGGCAACTTTTGTAAAATACCCATTTATAGCAAAATACAAAGAAAATAAAGTCAAGGTAAAGAAAACTGCACATACATTTCTCTTATATAAAAAGAGATGCATATTCTTTTCAAGAAAACACTTATTTAAACATTTTTCACCCTACTGCATTTCTAAGTAGCATACTAGATTTTAGGGAGTGATTACACATGTTTTTATGAAGATTCATAAAAGTTACAGAAATATAAACTTTAGAATATTTTAATAATTAGCAAATTTTTCTCAATGAGTTCTTTTTTCTCTCTATTCAGATGGATCTGCAACTGAAGCTACTGCTTACAACTATTTACATGTATCTTTTGAGCCTCAAATCTTAACAAATAGTCCATATTTCCAAAAGGGAATGCAGATTTAAATACTAAATCCTTAGTATGAAGCATACTCCCATTAAACTTTAACATTCCAAGTGTCAAAATTCTGATAACTTCTTTTTTAAAATATATTTAAATTGTTACTCCATATCCAAATGCCTTTCCTCTCCCATATTAGTACCTATCTCTTTAGCATTTTTCCTTTCTTTTTTTTTTCCTCCAGCTTCTAAATCCTCCTCGAATTTTTCAGAATGACAGTAAGGTCAAGGTGGATCTAAAGGGTTTTAAAAACTAGATAAGCTTTAGAAAAAGACAGTGAACCCTGGGTAAGAGATGAGAAGACCACTGCATGATTAGAAAGTATTGGTGAAAACAATTAACATTTGTCCATGACGTGATCAATCAATCAGGGAATGGATGGAATCCAGATCTCCAGATCCATGCACCCTAAAACGGCTGACAAGAAACAACCGCACTAGTTCGCTATCACGGAAGCTAAAGTTCTTTCTAAATAGAAGCCAGCTTGATTCTATTAAGAGACAGCTCCCTGCCTTTTCCCTCACTTTTTCTCTTCTTTTAACTCCTTCCTTCTTTCTTTCCATTCTTTCCTATTAAACTTTTCTTAGGCTTCAACAAATGACCTACCTCTGTGATTAAAAACTGGACTCTGAATGACCTGCAGATAGGGCCTGCATACATATGTGTATGTTCAGTGTTTAGCCAATTTCCAAAATGGTCTCTTTCTACATTTATTTTAAATTCAGAAACAAGGTGTGCACTTTGTTCTATACATATTTTGTGTTTATACTAATGTCATAAAAAAGATAATACTGAGTTTTGAGAGTTATGAAACCAATCTTCAAAGCCATGCCTATCAGAGATTACTTTTCTGCAAATAGGGTTTAAATTTCTGAGAGAGATTGATATAACATGAGATCATGGATAAGAATAATCAGCAAAACATCAACTTCCTATCTACCCACTTGCTGGTTTTTTTTTTTTTACCCTTTCATACATGTTATAACATTGCACTAAACTGCTTATCACTGATATAAATGCTAAAGCATAACTTGCTTGGTTAAAATTTGAACCGAGAGCATATATTATAATGGGAAAAGACAAGGACCCAATTTACTAGTAATGATTACAGACTCAAAGCAAGCACATAAACTAGGATTAGAAACACAATAAATATAAAACAGGCTTAAATATATGTCTCTCATTTCTATAAATAAATCTGAAATCTTTCAGAGCCCCAGGAAAAGAATGCTTAAACTTCATGGGAGAAAAACGTGACTATATGGACAACAGGAATACACACTTAAAACATAAATCAAACCATGTGGACACAACTTTACATAAAAGCTACTCATTAATAAAATAGTTAATGACTTCAAAGCATTTCACATTCCTATTAGAAAACTAATCCTCACCATAATGCTAAATTGACCTAACTATATGAGATCCCATTTCAATAGAAGAAACTGAGGGGAAAAAAAATCAGCCTTTGCGTGTCTCTATTATAGCTCATGAAAATATTTAATAACAATCACTGATTGCTTTTATCTATAGGACAATACAACTCACTGCATACAAATTTAACATTTAATTTCAATGCTCAGATTCTAGAGAGATTCAAAACACTGAGGAAGTCTCTTGAAAAACTCTCAGCTTCACCCCTCATTATCTAAGTGCCAAGCCTCTAAGGGCATGACACAGTTAGTCCCAAGTTCACTCTATACTGTAATGGAAAGCAAGCACAGAGAAAGGAAAAAAGACCAAAAAAATGCAGATTGTTAACAAATACCACATAGGCAGAGGACTCTCATCACTAAGAGGTCTCTGACTTGAAATGAAAAAGTATGTAATAAAGTTATAAATGAAAATTTATAATTTATTATTTCCCACTCAAAATAATGTCCACATAAGAGTGGAAATTATAAGTTAGTTTTCTTCTTCCTTGTGGTACATGCTTCGACCATATTAATAGCTGAGAGAGATTGATGTAACTTCAGATCATGGATAAGAATAATCAGCAAAACATCTTCAACTTCCTATCCTACCCAATTTTTTTCCTACCCTTTCATACATGTTATAACATTGTACTAAACTGTTTTTCACTGATATAAATGCTAAAGCATAACTTGTTTGGTTAAAATTTGAATTGAGAACATTACTTACTTTACAGAGGCAATTGATCAGGTCAGACTCTGCCTCAAGCACAGATGCAAAAACTAGAGGTCAAAATGTGTAAAGAACTCCAGTATGCATCATGTACCTGGACAAAGTATGACCATGCAGAGTGACTCTAACTCAGCAGCCATGCAGGATTCCAAATGGAAAAAAGACTGAACATTACCCAGATACTCTTGGATTGCTTTACTCAGATAAATATGTTTAACATGACTGACTTGAAAACAACTAATATAGTTATGGTGGTGCCACAGTCCTCAAAACAATAAAACAATACACAATATTTTCATTATCTGAGTTTGACTATTCAAATTTTAGTATTTTGATTAAGTTGACTTCAGCTAAAAAACAGGAGAGAAGCTACATACCTTCTGGAAATTGAGATAAAGAACTACAATATTATAGTATAAAAAAAGTCACCATATGTACATATTAAAAATGAGTGTACCTCGGTATAAAAGTAGGAAATAACAAAATTAATTCCTCTTAACTGAAAGAATTAGCCTCCAAAAGCCAATTCATAGTCAATAAAATATAGACCTTTATTATATTTACCTTGCCTTATTTTTGTAAATAATGTGATTTTAAAAAGGACTATCAAAAATCAAAAACTGGCACTCAGTTCTCATTTGTATTTTGATCAAGGATGTAAAAAATATAAATTAATTCTCAGCTGCACAGCTTTTGAGGTTTTTTTCTTTTCCTTTGAAAATTTAAGTTTTTTAATAAACTTCTAGGGAAGAAGGAAAGACAATTCAGAACTAATTTTTAATAAATATCCTGCATAATAGATTGCAAAGCAATGTTTCTGCTTCCTAAATACCTAGGTGTCAGTCCAGGTAAGTCAAGAGTGTTTTATCATACTAATAATTAATTTTATAGTATGAGACAAATTCAAAGCGAGAGTATGGGAGCTATTTGTTTCCTAATCTATATGACGATATTTTAGGAGCAATTTTAAATTATTTCTAGTTAAAGTTGCAGAAGTTTTAACACGCATTCTGCACAAAATAAAGATATTTCAAATGAGTAAAAGAGAGTAAATTTTAAAAATCATCAAAAAATAAAAAAATCACTAAAACTAAAGCATGGGAGAAATAGAAAAAGATAAATGGAAAACGTTACTGTGCTTTAAAACAATTTACCTGTGAGTAAATACATATTATTCCTCTTACCTCAAAAGTGCTATTTAAATTTAGAAATTCTAAAACATTAGAAACATGATATAGAAAATATCTTTAAAATATTGTAATGGAAAAAAATGGGTGCTGCTTCTGTATGCAGATTTCTTATTGCCTTATTAATTCTCTTAAGAAAATGTTAAAATAATTCATTTTATTTTCACCATAAGAATCACACATTTCAAATGTAATAAATTTTCTCTGTATCCAAGAACAATAACTTGTCAAAAGTACCCTTGACCTTGGCTTATGAGTAATTTCAACAATATATATTTATATCTCTGCTGATCATCCATCTCACATTTTTCATTAGGAAATAGAGATGCACATGCCAGTTACTGTACATTTTTCGACAGTGATAAGTGCTTCAGAATACAGTGGGATAAAATTGGAGCTTGGAGAGCTTGAAGAGCACTCTTAAATTTTAATTAAAACCCTCCAAGCTCACTAAAAATAATTAGACACTAAAATGTGCCAGTTTTATTTTGAAGTCATGATAACGTACAAAGCACAGTCCCGGACGACTGCTTGTGCGCTCCTCTCTTTCTCTCCTTCTCCAATGAAACAACTGATTTTCCAAATACGAACAAGGGGGTATAAATAGAAGCTGTTTTCAGGCCTTCTCTTCATGCTGGGAAGCTGACAGAAAAGACAGCAGAGTGGATTTTTCAGACTGCATCAAATGAAACTAGAATAACTTGCCTAACCAAGAGTTCGAATCACTGACAAACTCTAGATAAAATTCAGTCTGCAAAGAACAACATGGGTTGTATC